CATACATTGGTGGTATATTCATAAACAGATGAGTGAGGAAAAAGAATACACGTACGATGATCTGTTATAAATTGTTATTGCGGAATTTGAGGCATATATATCAGCATATTCGAAAATGAACTAAACAATTTAACATCCACCCCCTCCCCCTTGTGTGCATCTTTTATGGGGACATCTATTTTAGCGGTTTAACGTATATTATCCGTGTGCATACGAAGCGCTCTCACCAGATAGTAATTCATTCGAGCAGGTTGTTTGTATACGTGTGAGCTGACGTACACGGTTTTCAGCCATTGTTATACATACGAGCGGTGGCTATGAAGGTGAACTACCACGGCAAGGAATCACGATTGACTGTTTAACTATGCACCGGCCAATTGTACCAGTACACACAAGCATAAAACAACAGTCAAAGGTCTACCTCCGGGCAACCGAATACATTCAAATATAGAAATGCATCTCTAATCCGATCCCATACCTTCTTGAAGACTTGGGTACCGTCTTCCATGACCCTCCTGTGACCGTGTTTCTCGGCTGTTTTGGCCCCATCACCAGAGGTGTGTGTATGCATTATGGCCGCCTTTCCTCTAGATATCGCACTCTCCCTTGTACTGGTCTGTCTATCTCTAGCTAGCTCTGGTTTAACGATTTGCGCGTCGTTGGACAACATCGCAACCGCGCTTCCGTTTGAATCCGCATGCGCAGAGGGTTTGTTAACCCCATCTTTCGCCACCGTATCCGCAGTCATGATTACTACATCTATACTATATACTGTATAAGTGTATATGATAGGGACAGGCCTGGTGTACTATCAATATGTATAGTATCACAGTATGCGTGTCTTATTTGTATTTACGCGAACTGTTACACGGTTGTAACGCGTGCTTTAAAATTTAGTATCCACTATTCATTTTCTCGGCCCTTCCCTTCCCGCCCCCCCCCGGTGCAAAACTAGATATGATCGATTGGATTGTGTTCTATTTCCACCAATAAGAATCGAGTCTCATCTCATCTTAGACTCAACTGTTGAATTTTGGAGTGATATGTATGACTCAACAATACTGAATATGTATAGTTTTTAGTAGTAGTAGTAGTATGTAGTGTATACATTCAGTCATCTGCAGCGCACAAATGCCGCTGGGCGTTGGATTGACTACTTGGTAATGACCCACCATGCAGGCATGCACACGGCTGTGAGTTTATCTTTCGTGTATTTTGTATGCTCTTGTGTTTTCCTACAACTCAATCTCGCGTGCAATGCGCCCCGGGATTTCTTACGTTCTTCAATTGCTATGCATATGCTGCAATTTTTGTTTGTTCCTATGTCTTGTGTGTTTGATTCTTGTATCAGGGTAGATACGTATGCCCTTATTCTAAAGTTTGGCTATACCCGTGTGTCTGAATTAATACACAACTGAATACATGTAATGACATATCAATTTAGATTTACAATTGTGTACTAACATCGCCGATCCTTTTACTAAAATACGTTGTCAACTGCATGCCCCCCCCTCCCCCAGCTCCCCCCCCCCTACCTCCATTAACTCTCTTTGAGCCAACGTATCGCTCCGCAGTCCCTTAAGTCTACCCCCACCTGAACAAGCTGTAGCCCTACTATCTATAGTAGGTACACCTATGAGCTATCTATCTACAACCCCACACGGACGTCAACACTCCTAGAAGGGAAGTAAGTTTTGTAAATATCTAGATAATGGTCCCGTATAAACACCGACGAGTATGTACTCCATGTAGCACACTGTCGGAATATAAAATCTTAGTGTCGTTGGATGATTAGGGATGGGTATGGAAATACCAATAGACGTGAAACGTTTGTGAACCAAGTGTGCTTGCATAATTATTAACTGTTACAATATGGAATCTATCAGGCAGATCACAACCTTGAATTATCATGCCAGTTGCATAACACATCTGATGCACTGTTCTCTCCAACATTTGTTTGCGAATAAGAAGTTACCTACAGCACATCCTTGAATTAGGGATTGATGATTTAGGAAATATGTGTGTATAAAGCATCACTTCATTGCCTTACTTTATTCTACTATATGCACTACGTGTGTATCCTGCAATCGCTGTAGAAGACTTTCTAACCGATTAGGTGAAACCGCACCTAAAGACAGAGCGACCGCCACCTCCACGCCTGTACTAGCCCAGTCATCCCGGTTTCGATGTCCGAGCGTTCCGGTGCACCGCGCCAACACACTGCCAGCTAGCGCTGTTATCACGGGTGGGCACACAGCGTTTCCTAACATTCTATATTGTTCCTTAAGATAAGCTTCGCGGCCTTGTCTGCTGCTAGGGTCTCTATTGAGCAGTGTGTACGAATCTGGAAACCCCATCACACGCGCACACTCTCGGGGTGTTAGTCGCCGCGGGTTGTGGGGGGCAGGTGATGGTACCAGCTGTGACTCACCTTTACCTACACTCACACCGTAGTGCGAATTGAGCGTGTTTAGGGGCTTATCGGGCCATGCAAGTTTTGACGGCTTCCATTTCCGTGCGTTGGTCAGTTGATTGAGTTGCGCGTCGCTCAAGCGATATAAACTTTCCAGATCAGACCGTCCCGGTTTTGTACTGCTTTCACATCCTGGCATGGCATGGTCCCGGTGGGCTGTATTATCTGCGTGCAAATTTGCACCACGGATGCTATTTTCGATAGGGACTGGAGTTGCCTCGTGTATTTCACTATCGCTTTGCAGTATATCAATGGCGCGTAGTCCAAGATCAGGTATGCAAGGGAAGGTGAATGGCTCATAGACGCTCTGCAGCCCCTTCCGCAACCCGACTATGTACAATCGCTTCCGCGATTGAGCAGTTAGACACTTGGCATTCACAACTTCATGACTCACATCGTATCCCGCGTTAATCAGCTCGCCAATGATTGTATCTAGCGCCTCCCCGTCGTCACACTTTAGTAAGCCTGGCACGTTTTCAAGTAAGAATGCTTGCGGTTGTTTCGCTTTGAGCACACGCACGATCTGGGTGTACAGCATGCCCCGGCCAGATGCATCCGAGATACCATTCTGCTCGCCTAAGCCAGAGAAGGTCTGACACGGAAACCCACCTACTAGTATATCGTGTGTGGGAATAAACTCGTCGGGAACTTCGTATATATCACCCGCCACATGACCACCTGTAATGTAGTCTGTGCATAAGTTAGTTTCGTAGGTCGCTATACAACTCGGCAGCAATTCGCTGGCGAATACGCACTTGCCCCCGAGAGCCTCGAGACCAACCCCGAACCCCCCGATACCTGCAAATAACTCGACAAAGGTGAATGCAGGAGGCTCCAATCTTTGTTCTTCTCTTTTCATGCCACTTCCTGGTATCTGCACATTGCTGAACTCTCGTAGCCTACTTCGGGCGACCTCGACTGTGCGTATGTGTTCTGCGTCTATACTTTCGTCTTTAGGAATGTTTGTGTGAAGCGTAATGGGTTTATGTTGTAGTTCTACGCCTGGGAGCTGTAGTAGATCAACTAGTGCCTGCGCTGCTGCTGATCTAGGCATGTCAGTCTGCGCTGAGTCTCCTGGCTGAATGGCGTCACCACTTATATGTTCGGCTGTTTGTGACACATATTGTGCCGTGCGTGATTCCTTCAACGTGTGCATAATGCTCGATACGTGAGCACCACCCGTCAAAGTAAGAGGCAGTCCCATGCGCTTGGCAGATGACGTGCCAGTGACAACCGATGGTCGCAAATGCTTTGAACTGGGCTCATTACCGTTTGAATGGCGTGTACACTCAGCCTCGGATGAAGGATGATGAATACTCAGTGCCTCTGTGTGCGTTGGATCATCGTCTATTGTATGCGTACGACTGCCATACCTTCCCCCACTGTGCCAACGCATGGCTACGCATCCTGCTTCTCGCAGTAAGTTGAAAGCTCTCGTGGTGAGAGCTGGAGGTACTGCAAGTACAGGCTCTAGATCGATTTGGTTCATCGCTGATGGAGTATCGGATGGTGATTTTTCTCTCATTGTAAGGCAACGTGCAATCTGCGAGCTGCTGAAAGGTTCGGTGTAGGTTACTAAATCTTCGGTATAATTAGCGTGCACACACACCGATGTAGCAGCTATACTTCTCCTGTTGAATAGTTGATATCCGGAGCGTCGATAGTAATCTGTAGCGTTTGCCCTAATTCTACCTGTGTACCAGAAACATACTAGTTGCTTTGTGATTGATAAAGTGGTCACGCATACATACTGACTCGTAGACTCAGAATAACTGCATGTGCTATACTATAACAGCCCAACATAAAGTAAATACATATATGTATGTGCAGTATAAGTATTTATACACACCCGTGAACACTGAACACTGAACAATTTTAAGGTCGAGGATCTATTGTAGGGTTTTTAGGGTTTGTAAGGATCGGCTGAGGTTTTTAGAAGGAGCTAAAACTCGGTTTTAATTGGGCGGGATCTGATTAAAATATATAGGCGGGCCGCTGAGCACGAATGGCAGACTGACAGTTGACGACTTGACGGCTTGACGCGATATTATAAAATCAATCATAATAACAGAGGCACACGCAAGTACGCTAAGCATTCACGCACGACAGTAGAAACACGCACGCGCGATATAGACTGTGTTGTTGATTCCGCACGTAGCGCAACTTTCAGTCACTCACCATGGACTTCTCTGATGATAGTTTCGACCACCATGAGGTAAGCAGTGAGAGTTTTGGGTATCTTTTGTCCCGTGGTCTGTATGCATTTCGAGGGCGAGAACAGGGCGGTTGGTTGGTTAGCTACTCAAAGCTTAAAGCATCCGATGTATACAGCGTAGCATGGGCCCGAGGTTCCAGTTCTATTTGTTATTGAGTATTGATTCTATATCGCTACCAATATAGTCGTAGGTCACAGTTCTGGTATGTAAGATAATATTCGAAATCATATCGTGGTGACGGAGAATAATCACCCGGCACAGACACACCACAGGTACACGCCATAGGCCTACTGCAGCACTCAAATTACCAGCTTTATTCCTATAGGACTACTCCCCTACTATGTTTACTACTCTGCCATTCGGTGTACACGGTGGTATGCAAGGCATGGAGTTCGGTCGGAAGGCTGTCAGCGACTACACAAGCGGGTTGTTCGAGGATTACGAAGAAATCCCGGAGAGTATTACTCAGGTGTGCATGTGTGATGTTTTGATACCAAAACCTTGTCCTTGCAGCTATTTTGTACCCGATTGAAGATTTTTGAGTAAACTAAAAAGGAACAGATTCCCAACCTAAATCCATAAATCAACTCATTCCTTATTGATTGATAGTGCATTGACGCAATGCTAGGTGGGCCCACCCCCGATTTTCTGGATCCCACGAAAGCGTTGACGCGTGAGCAAGAAGTGAACACAGTAGCCGAAAAGAAGGCGAAGCGTGACCCCAACTGGTTCTCCACTCTGAAGAACGATCACCTGAAGAAATTGCTCCAGGTTAGTTTTATATACTTGCGCATGTGATTTTATTTCTAGTATGTGTGTGTAGTTTGTTGTAGACTGATTTATCCGCAATAGACGGTGTGATGAGAAGGTTCGCGATATTTCTGCAAATACCAACCAGGTGACGCGCTACCCATTGCATGTGGTAGATCTCCACTATCCACGCCATGCCATGTCGCCAAAACCCAAACATATCATGTACAACTTGGCTCAAGGACCTTGTCGTTCACTGGTACTGCTGGTACAACGACGGTTCCCGCACACCGTACCATGGACACCTATACTCACTATACCATTGTGCACTAAAATAGGTACTGGGTCTTCATCGTAGCGGTACTAAGGCCCAGCTGGTCGATCGACTTCTTGATGATCCTATAGCCAGCAAATACACCGATCAACGAAACACAACACTGGCGTCATTGGCCGAGAAACTGTCCGAGAAGGAACCTCATGGGTGGCAATATGATGCTATTGGAGCAGGAGTTGGACAAGACGCGCGCTTCTCACGGATACACTTGTTGATGAAGATGGAGAAAAAAGACGCGATGAAAAACGACGATACAGATGAGTTGTTGTGACATGTCCGTGTATATACCCGGGCACCAAAACTATACGGCATATTCATCATTGACGCCGGGATACTACGCATGCTTTACCATGGTAAGAGTTTGCACTCAAGGGTGGCTATATTCGGAAAACGTTTCAATCATGTCGCAGCTGACAAACTACCACAATCATCAGACACTTCTCTGGACTATGTAAATGAGGGACAACCACTTCTTCCCTCCCCCCCACAACACGCACACACACACACACTGGGATCGCGAACACAGAAACTATATCGGAATTAAGTAATACATAAAGCAACAAATTTGATGCTGCGTAGTCCATGCTACTCAGGATAATAATCGCTACCAGCCAACTGCAAATCGCTACGGTCCTTGTACTAGTTTACCTGCTGATTTTAAAGTTCAGATATACAATTTATATCCCAGTGACAAGATTTATTTGGACAGGGCTCTCGATTCCCTGCATGCAGTGCATTCAAATTTCAATGTATGTATTTTAAATTTATGTGTGCGTTGGTGGGCAAATTGTACAAAGCGCCACTGCATTCCGGTGATTTTAACTTTATTTACTTCAGTCATCCCTTTTGTGTATTGATGAATGACGAGTTATTTATTTTACTTGAAATTTTGGAGGCGGACTTCTCGCCCTCGGACTCTCTCTCTCTTTCTTGCGTCAGCTAGTGGTGTGTTGTTGGCGACTGGAGTGTCTTCGCTGTTTTGGACTTGAATGTGTCGGTGAGTGATGACTAATAGAGAGCATTAATAGCCTTCCAAAAAGAGGCTAATTATAAAATAACACAGAAATATGCGATTCCGAGAGCAAATCCAAAAAACCCCCCATTTTTTTCTGTGAAATTTCTAGAAATTAACACTGTTGTGAAATGTGAAAGCTGCCGCCGTATACTTACATATAACATGCCTATATTAGTCAGATGCGCATGATAGTGGCCGCTAGTGCTACACTACTTTAGCTGAGTCAGAATGGCACACGCATTCAACAACAAGATATACCGTAGCTGTCTACCGGACGCTCAGGGATTAGTCACGAAGTCAAACGCCTTGAAAGTATTTCAGCACGCAAATCTCGATGATGTGGTTATCGATGAGGTACGAATCTAGAATTGCATGTGGATATTTACAAATATCTTGAACTTAAACTAGAAGTTATTAGATAGTGTGGACAGAAAATCGTGAATATTTGTTTATAGCATGCTAAAGAAATCAATATGACTGGATATAAATCTGTGTCGTTCCAGAATGTGTACACGTCTGATAATAAGCTACTTTAGCTACCCATCTTTCAATTTTCAATATGCATACATATATATATATATATGTGTGTGTGTGTATGTGTGTGTTCTTTTTGGTTATATACATATATATATATATATATATATGTGTGTGTGTGTGTGTGTGTGTGTGTGTGTGTGTGTGTATCGTACTATTTACTATTCTATAGTTATTACTTTTTCGTTACCTTTACTTATATGTTCGTGTATATACTATTT